GAGAACGGCTTCCAGCCCCAGGGCGCCCACCTGCCCGTGGCTCCCGAGTTCCCCCACCCGATCCCTCAGTTCGTCCTCGACCAGATCGCCTTCGCCGCCGAGGAGGACGCCGCCCGCGCTCGCCAGGAGTTAGAAGTGTCTTCTCCAGCAGGATTTTATCGTTACCCTCAGTAATTTAGGAAAAGCAAAAATGACAAGTGTATTTATTTTTATTTTCTAAATATATTTTCTATACAACATAATCGTTACATTTTTGTTTCCTATGTTACACGAACTTTTCATAATCTAGAAGCACAAGTAAATCCTTTTTGTTAGATGTTCTTATTCCAAATAACATTCATTCGTCTCCTTATAAAAAAAAAAACAGAAAGTAAATGTGAAACCAAACTACTACTACTACTAAAAAATAATGAATAAATGAGTAAATCTCATTCTTAAAAAAAAAAAAAAAAAAGTATTGAAGAATATTTAAACGTATTTTTTTAAATCCCATTCTTAAATTAACAAATCTAAAAATCATTTAAAAAATACTAAAAGTATCAAAAAAGCATCCCAATCCTAGAAGTAAATTGACTTTCCTATGAGTCATATAGTATTTCGATAAGGTTGTGTATCAATCTCTGCTTCAACCCAAAGATTACATACTGAATGAGAAGGAAGCTCTGAAGGAAAAGATGAAGGAAAGAAATGTATCGGTTAGTCATTAAAAACATATTTCGTACTTCATACGCCGTAGTTAAAGCATCCTTATATAATATTTGAAATACTGTTTTTACAATAAGAATCTATAAAGAGTTTAGTTATTATTACACTGTAGTGCTAGATTTAAGACCACCTCAATCTAGTGTTCAGATTAAGATTACCAAGAGGAAATCAAATAAGAGCGAGAGAATGAGAGAGATAAGAGAGAGAGAGAAAGAGTGAGTGAGAGAGAGAGGTGCAGTGTGTGTGTGTGAGAGAGAGAGAGAGAGAGAGATAAGAGAGAGATGAGAGGGAAAGAGAGAGAGGGAGAGATAAAGAAAGTAATAGACAGAGAAACAGAACAAGAGAGAGAAAAACAGAACCAGAAAGAGAAAGCAAGAAACACTAAAAAAAAGAGGGAAATTCAGAAACAAAGAAAGAGAAACATTTATCCACATTTATCCTTCTTTTCTTCTTCCTTTTCACTCTAAACATATGCAAATTTCACATTCAAGTATTACTATACATCACGATCCAAGCATATTAAGGAGAAACACAGTAAAATATTACCAACAGAGGCTACAAGTAAATGACACTTAAAGTTAAAGGTCTCACCTCCTATTTTTACAACAACTACTTTCGTGTCGCACCGAGAACGTTCAAAACGTTTTTAAATTATCGTTGAACAGATGTATGCTCTACGCGTATACATGCTTACCTATTCCTGATGTCAATTATTCATTCTAAAAACACTTTCGATGATTCTGCTGCAGACTATAAAGCAACGATGTCAGAATATACATTTATTCTTTTGTTTAAAAATGTGGAACGTGTGCCCGAGTTATTACTTTATTTGTATGTCGTTTATGATGTATCTTTATCTTGATCATTGACTCTGTTCAGCTTCATGGAGTAAATATTGTCTTCCTTTTAAGCTCTTTGCAGCTGAATAGGGAAATAAATGCGCCTTATTTGTTCAAAGTCTGTGTTTGTGCGTGCGTGCGTGTGTGTGTGTGTGGTGTGTGTGTGTGTGTGTGTGTTGTGTGTGTGTGTGTTGTGTGTGTGTGTGTGTGTGTGTGTGTGTGTGTGTATGAATATAAATAATAAATAAATAAAATATATATATATATATATATATATATATATATATATTATATATATATATATATATATATAATATATATAAGTATATATATACATATATATATACATAATGTATATATATATATATATATATATATTATATAATATATATTATATATATAATATATAATATACATATATATATACATATATATATATATATATATATATATATATATATTATATATATATACTATATAATATATATATGCACTCAACATATATAACATATGTATATATGTGCCTGTATGTGTGCACGCGTTGAATGCATTTTACAAAAGAGGAAAGAGAGGCAAAAGAGAACGGAAAACGGAGACGACCAAGAAGAAAGCGCAGGCCTCCCTCCCCGTTTGGAAGGTTTTATATCACTTCGCATTCAAATCAGAAACTTTCCCTTTCCAGACGAGGCTTCACAATCTCTGAACGCTTATTAAGGGACGGTTTCTTCCGGCGTTAAGCGGCTTAATCAGACACAAGTGATATCGATTAGTAAAGATCTCCCAGCAAGATTTATCATTCCGCCAAATAAACCTGTTAATGATACACTCTTGCTATCGAAGGAACGGGTTCTTACGTCTCCGTGTCTTTGAGAAATGGCTGTAAAAGGTTACGTATGATTACACTTTATTGCTGTCGTTAAACTCTTCGAATTGTGGCACCATTTATCGAACGATGCCCCTAATAATTGGAAACCATTTAAACAAACGCCTTGATTAGTATTAAAGATACGTCCATAGATTTGTCTTTCTATTTGCAACACCTGATTAATTTAGGAAAAGGCGCGTATAGTGTTTTTAATATAATGAATAACGTTTACATGGAATAGTATTAAAAATGTTTAAGAAATGAATGAGTGAAAGTCAACTGAAGTTTTTTCCCTCCTCGCTATCTGAAAATAAATACATGTAATCACTGATTAAACACACACACACATACATATATTGTGTGTATGTATACATATACATACATATATATATATATATATATATATATATATATATATATATATATATATATATGTGTGTGTGTGTGTGTGTGTGTGTGTGTGTGTGTGTGTGTGGTGTGTGTGTGTGTGTGTGTGTATATATATATATATATATATATATATATATATATATATATATGTGTGTGTGTGTGTGTGTGTGTGTGTGTGTGTGTGTGTGTGTGTGTGTGTGTGTGTGTGTGTGTGTTGTATATGTGTGTGTGTGTGATGTGTGTGTGTGTGTGTGTGTGTGTGTGTGTGGTGTGTGTGGAATGTGTGGAGTAGCATTGTTCTGTATGTGTATGAGTGTGAGAGAGAGAGAGAGAGAGAGAGAGAGAGAGAGGGAGAGAGAGAGACGAAGGCGGGGGGAGAGGAGGGGGGATTGGAGCTTACTCTGCATGCCTCCATGCAGAAGCGTTCCGATCACCACCGTCTTTCGCTAGGAATTCCCACAATGCACTGAGTCAGCTGCCTTCCTGGGAATAGCTGAAGCCAGCTGAAATTCCCTTCGAAACCCGGGTCTCTTCTCAATAAATATGTGAAAGGCCAATGACTGAATTCTTAGACGTGCAACCAGACACTTCACGGGGTATTTGCAGTTACCAGACGAACAAAACCTCCTAAAACGTGTGCCTATTGTAGTTATTATCTACATCATTTATCTCTCCAGATCTCTAAATGAAGGTATAGGCGATTAGCTCACTATAGTACCTCAACAGGAGTTGTCTATGGCTACTTTGAAAACAGAGGTTCTCAAAGAGGGGCGCGAAATAATGTTGAGGGGTCGCGAGTTCCTGTTGCCCCATCTCCCTCCCTCCTCCTTTCTCCTCCACTCCTCCCCATCCTAACACGTCTAGCACTTGTCTGCGGTGGTCGACCAGTATATATAAAATATACTATATATATTATATATATAATATATATATTATATATATATATATATATAGATATATATATATATAATATATATACATATATAATATATATATATATATATATATATATATATATATATTAAAGAGAGAGAGAGAGAGATTCATACAAGTTTACATACGTACATACGTACACGAAGACAGGGAAATGTGTTACAGTGACTGTCAAAAATGCTTTGTTGCTGGAGGAGTGGGTCATGAATATCTCGAAGTAATTTTATGTCTCAGCAAGAAAGTTTGATCGCCCCTGATTTTAAAAGACCAAATGAAAAAAATATGGCTATTTTATTCATTTATAGTCATGATTTAATATAATTGGTAGCTGGGATGAATAAGAAGTAAAATAATGGTATAAGTAGTAACAGTAATAATTTTAGTAATTTTGAATATAATAATGACAGCAGTAATGGTAGTATGGAGAAATTAATATCAAAAGAATGAATAATAATGTCTCCAATAATATAACACTCTAGGTATACGCTGAAGTTATCACGAATTATGATTTATAAAGTAATATCCTCCAATCAACAGACCCGACAGGATGTACATGTGAAAGTGCTCTGCATCCTTCACGACATCACAGGATACCTTATGCGGCTCAGTACAGTACTTGCTGAAGGTCAAAGCCATGGTAACAAAAAGGGGAGGAGCCTGTGAGCAAGAAGGACTAGGTGTTCTAACTTTCTTTTAAACAGCTGTTATTCCATTCGTCTGATTGTTTTATTGTTATTGTTACAATCGTTATTTTTGTTATTGATACCATTATCATTATTGCTATTGTTACCGTCATCGTTACTGATACTTTTATCACCATTATTATTGTTAATGTTGTTATTACCAAAATTCTTATAATGACTGTTACTATTCTTTCCAACGTGATTATGTTCATCCTTATTTTATATCATTATCATTTGTATTATTTTAATCATAAGATATTGTTTTCGCAAAAGGTAATGAAGCCTTGGTCTGTTCATCAGTCACTGCTGCTTCTTTTTTCTGAGCTTCTGTGTAGACAATTATTTAAAATCCAAGTAACATGCAAGGTTTATGTATGAAGAAAAAATGTTTGTGCACGATACTAAATTTTATATGTTCAGTGTGATTATATTGACAAATGTGTATGGAACACCTGGGAGTTAATGGAAGAAGTTTAACAATTTAGGTTTTCAAAACTCCCTTTCTTAAAATCTTACTTTACAGATTGTCATATACATTGTGATAAGGAAAGTGATTTGTACTAAAGGGAAATAAATCAGTAAAACTACAATTTCTTTTTTGTTTTTGTTTTGTCATTGGTAATAAATAATTTTATTGGCACTAAGATTACAATTTAAACCAATAGATAGTACGGGTACCTCGGAAATCAAAGCCGCCTGCAGATCCATCCGGACTGTGAGACGCCGATGCCCATGCCACTCTGAGCCCCAAAGCTGTACTTTCCTTTGTTGTCTTTCTCCAGCACGGCTTCTAACTCCTCTACGCTAGCTTCTTCGGATGACCTGTAACGTTCCGCGGAAGGCTTGGGAGTCGTGCTCTGTTGGTTTTTCAGTTCGTCGTTCTGCGGGCGAGGAACGACAGTGATTGTTTCAACATTCTCGAGGCTGACTTCCTCGAGACTGATTTTCTCGAGACTGACTTCGAGAGAGGACCCGTAGCGCATGGGAAGGGGCCTGAGAGCCACTCTTTCTCGATTCTCTAAAACCTCCTCCCTTTCTCCTTCGACAGGCAGGCGCGGGCGAGGAACCGCGACAATGCGGTTATCGGAATCTAAGTCGCCAAGGTCGTAATTTACCTCTCTGGAGGAAGTACAGTCATCGGACACCGGGGAAGTGACCTCCTCCAGGGAATTATCCACCTCTGTGGACGCCTCGAGAGAGTCGTAAAGGCGACGGGGAGGAGGAAGGGCCCTGGGTCGACCATAGCTTGCCTGGGGGGCAGCGAGAGCCCCGGCGGCGAGGGCGAAGAGGACAGGAACCTGATAGAAAGGAAATGTGTTAGAAAGAGGCTGCAGGGGGCAGTAGGATTTGCCTGAAACACATGCATATGGCGTTCACGCGTGAGATAAACAAAGCCGTCCGCAAAACAGCTGATCAGATCCTGTTTTAGGGTGGGCCCAGACACCGATCCACTCGACTGAACTAAGCCAGAAGCCTTTTCACACTGTTAGGAAGAATTAGTGGCATGTCGGGAAACAAACATGAACGAATGAAATGAAAATGCCAAAATGGTTAGTCTGCTCCTTCCCTTCTGATCTTACGAAGTTCATGACGAAAATTTCAGGTACGATGAGCGATCCTGCACCGACCTTTTATACTCCTCCGTCCTAGACCTCGA